CTGCATGGGGCACTGGGTGTTATACGCAAACAATGAACCATGGAACACTACATCAAAAACTAATGATGTAATGTATGGTGATTAACATAATAAATAAATAAATAAAAAGTCTCTGGAGAGCAGCTGACCTTGATGCTTTCAGAAAACAAATGTTGAGCTAGTCATCACATCTTGTTAGATATAGTAAAACAGTATCTAATAGCAGATACAGGCAAGCAGTGAAAACTTGTTTTCTTACCATACTATTTAAGGTAAATCTAACATTTACTCCTGGCAATGAAGAATATGGTAGGTCTTTATTCCCAATTCTTGGGAGCTAACCTCTCAACTCTTGAAATTTCCCAAGATAAGGGTAACTTTGTTACTCAAAGAACCCCTGGGGCCCCACCTAAGAGTATATGCCAATGACGTGACTCACGGAGGGACCCTAGTTTGTGCTAATGGGATGATTCAGGATGGGGACTGGCCATGCCAGGAAGACCAACCATGTGACTAGAGGATTAGGGCTTTGAGCCACAGGATATTGGGAAAGGAAGGGTGGGAGATTGAGCCACATGGGCAATGTTGATTCAGTGAGTCAGGCCTACATAATGAAGCCTCAATAAAAAGCTCTAGACAATGAAGCTCAGTGGCCTGGGTGAGCTTCCCTGGTTGGCAATACTCTTTAAATACTGTCACTTCGATGCCACGAGAGCAACTCTGAGTCCTCCCATTGGCATGCTCTCTACAACACCTCACCTGATAAGATCCAAGGGCTGCTTTTTGTATATACTTCGCGGATGAGCCCACTCCCTGTACAGAAGATACCGTTCGCTTGGGCAGCTGAGATCCTCTGACTTATGGCTGAAGTTGCACTGCGAAGCAGAAGCAAACAAGTGAGTATATGATCTCTAGGTGTTCACAAATCTGTTTATTCAATATGGTACTCATACTTCACAGGAATAAGGGGCCCTCATTTGCTGGAAGGGATGGATGGATCATCTAATTTTTAGTGATTCTCAACCAGGTATTATTAATCGCTTGTGGCCACTTAAAAATGTGGGTGGGGAGGAATGCTTGGTTGTTACAATCCTAGAGAACACCTCAGGTACCTGGTGGGAGCCCCAGAGGTGCTTTACATCCTACAAGTGTGCAAAGTCCTAAACAGTTAAAAATTGGGCTGTTCAAGTACCAAAATTGCCACAACGCAGGGACACCTGATAGTCCAGCGCCCTCCTGGGACACCTCTGGGAACCAGGGCCTTAAGGTTGGGTTAGTATCAAGGTCACTTCTAAAATCCAGGCATCTTTGTCCCCCAATTCAGCAGTTCCTCTGTGACAACACATAGAATATAAACAACAAAGAAGTTTGACATATTATACACTTCGCTTACTCAAAACACAAAGCTTCCTGCCTCTACTTCAATTCAGTCACTCTTCCCATCTGACTCATTTTCCTTCCTCCTGTACTAGAACCAGATTATCACCAGGTAAGCCTTAACATGGGTTCTGACCTCCATTCACTTCCCTTCCAAATGCCACAGGAGATCATTCCTTAGCCTGGATGTGGGACACTGCAAGTAAAAGAGGCTTTAGTGGGAAAGAACTGGGCATGGTCAGATGCCAACTGAATACTATTGAACTTTGGCGTCCCAGATTAATATTCATGACAGCTATTTGCAAGTGTCTCCAAAGTTTGTGTCATGCTATAATCACTAATTTTGCTGGGCACAAATATAAAACACATAGACTGTCAGGCCAGGCTGCCATATTGGGTCTCTTCACCAGGAAGTTCAGAACCTGCTTCTCCACCCAGCTCTCTGCTATTTACACATGTGCATCAAGTAGCTCTTTTGTGTCCTAGTTTATTAACATATACAGTACGTTTCAATAATGTTGTCATCCATAAGTACGTGTAATACCCAGTAGCAATGATCAATCTCAGTCTTGGCTTTCTTGCTCTTAGAGATTCAGATAAATTGAGAGTGAATGTAACAAAGCTACAGCATACTCTAATATAGTATTTAATTTATTTCAATGACAGAATTTATTTAAAGAGCTTAGATATAATATCCCTGCATTTATGGCATCATTAAGGGTCTGAAGCAGTCACATTTTAAAATTTTCATTTCATGAGAGATGTTATCGGCTAGAGAAGTGCTCTTGAATTTGAGGAGCTACTGTCATCTCAGAACGGAGTCCTTAAAAAATGTCAACACTCTGCAGTATTGCCATCGTGACAAGAACCCTGACAGATGCCTTTTTAAAAGCCTTGTGATATTCCAGGACACACTAAGAAAATGATATTTCAGGGGGAAAAAGTCTGTGTTCCAGAAAATGGTAAGTGAGAAGATCCAACACATATTTTGCTTAAAAAGAACCAATACTTTTCTGGTTGATAATAACATCTGCCAGTAATTATGAGGATAGCTAACACTTACATTCTACTTCCTATATGCCAGGCATGGTTGTAACATTTGACAGGGATTAATTTAATTAATCCTCATAACTCTACAGTATAACTCTATGAGGTAAGTATGATTATTATCCCCATTTTATTGATGAGGAAACTGAGGAACAGAGAGGCTAAATGACTTTTACAAGGTCATCCAGGTAGAAAGTGGGAGAGTGAGCCCCAGAGCCCACGCTTAACTGCGAATCTGCACTGCTTTACACATGCACTACAGGGCGGCTACTGTTTCAATCATCCATTCATTGACTCATTCAAACTCATGGCCTTCTCTATGCCTGAGAGTCAACAGTGAACAAAACAACCTGGTTCCTGCCCTAAATGAGCTTGTAATCCTTGCAATAGACCATCTTCATTTTATGAAAGAAGAAACTCAAGGTTAAGAAGATTAGCCCTTCTTTATTCACACTAGAGTATACCTTGGGTATTTTATTTCATTTTTGCCATTTGACTTACATCATGGAGAGGGAAAGCTGCTTTGTAGATCCCAGAGCTGACAAGTTTGTTAATCCCAAACTTTTTAACATTGTCTCTTACTTGATACATGATCCGAGAGAGGATGAAGTAAACCTAAAAAAAAAAAAAATTCCAAAATAAAATGTGTGCACTAGACTGTGTAACTAACCAACCATTGTTTACTATTGTAACAGGAACCTGTTTTCTTTTCGGGGCAGGGGGTGGGGGCGCAGCTTTTAAAAATGAAACTAAACCAACCAAACCAGACCACTAATTATTCAAACAGCAGGTTCCAAATTACTCTAAGACAGCAACTAAATTTGGTTTAGACTTACAATGCGGCTTCTGGTGGCTGGATTGAAGAAAGTATCTCTATCCTGAATATAAAAATCATTCAACCGGTTCTTCTCAAATGGGGCAGTGAAAAACTCTTGCTCTGGCTTGATGATACTTTCATCCACTTGGAGGACTTTGGTAAACCAGCTGAAATTATCAAAGGCTGAGGACTGGGTTTTCAGATCATTGGGTTTCAGAGGCAATTTGATGTGCATTAGCTCAGCATATGTACATAACACCTCCCATGGGGCATGTACTTTTACAAATACAAGCTTATCATCCAAAATCTACAAAGGAAGAATAAAAACACAAACCAGGACACTAAACCAATTGTTTTCATAATTTTAAAACACATATAGATTGTTCTCATGTTGCTGGTAGTTAAAACACAGGACACTGGTAAAAATGAAGATAAAATAAAAACAGACTTGCACTCCATCAGACATTTTTGCCTTAAAGATAATTTCTTGGTTCAAATTATTGAGCAAGTAATTAATACTCCTTTTCATATTCCTTTCATAAAATTACTATTATTTTAAACGAAGAAAAGCAAACTTGTTAATTTGCCCATCACTCCATCCAAATTGGTGACTAAAAATAAAAACACTAGAATATTCACTGCAGTGTTATTTTAATGATAATTTTAACATTTCTAACCCAGAACAGGACTCACTCTTTATTGTATTATATATCTGTTAAATGTCATGTTATGTGTCCATTAGAAAAAGATGTCAATATAGAAATGCATCTAGTACATATTAACGGAAAGAAAAGCGAATTATAAAACTGTGAAATAATAATCCCCCTTTTTGAAAGGGAAAAATGCATATATTTTGAGGAATAAAAAAGTTTAGAAGGACCACAAGGTTATTTACACATAATGAGAACACAGAGGATTTTTATTTTTGTTATTCTTATATCCTCTAATTTTTTGTAAGCTATTGTCTATAAAATAAGAAATCTTTTTAAAAAGCTCTTAAAAGAAGAAAACAATCATTTATACACGCATTCAGTATTACATTCTTTGGCTATTAAAAAAGTTAGGCTGACTTGGATCAGAAACAAACATACATTCTATAATGCAGATTTTGATGGACTCCCCTTCCAGCCTAAGGCATCACTAGAGTTGCACGTTTCAAATGCCACTCCAGCATTCCAAATGACATGCCACTTCCCAAGAGCACCAGTTCAGCCCAGGACTGGAAAGGATCCAACACTTACCGATCTTGTTGCTTCTAAATGCAGGCCATCACAGATGAGGTTAGATTCATATGCTCGTCTTTTTCTCTGTCAAAAGAAATTGGAAAATATGTTAGACCCTGTAGTTTTGCCAAGGACAGAAAAAGTCTTTTTTAAGAAAAACCAAACCAAACCAAACCAGTTTGAATCTGATGAAAAGAGAGATCTGCTCAAAATGGCACATAAGCAACGAAGGTGCTCCAGCTGTTGGTGATTTGTTCACTTAGCACTCTCGAAGGCCTTGGTTGTCCCCATGGGTTTCTGGCCATTCGGGATGCATAAAAGTCTCTAACTTTGGCACAATTCCAAAACCTTTTTTTTTTTTTTTAAACTCATAAGCGGTTTGGCACACAAATGGAGTTTTTTGAGTCCCATTCACTGATGTCATTTGCCAGAGTTAAAGCCCAGATCTGGCATTCTAGACATATCAGACATACAGATGGTTCAATTTTGGATATGTATATTTCATCTCTACATGCCTTGAACAAATTCAATAAACAACATAAACAATTTTGCAAAATTCAAAAGAATGTTTCTCTCTGCAAGATTAAAATGTCCATGAAGGTATAAACATCTAAAAATCTACAAAAATAGGGAACTAATTAATTGATAATAGATATGTGTCACATGGCCATCTGAAAAGATGTGGAATGTACTGTATTTATTGATATTAAATTCTATCTGGCTAGGCTTTTGTCAAGCTGTGTCCTACGTTGTAAGGAAAGCATGTAAAAGTAGAGACTTACTTAACCTTTTGAAAGAACGCTTTTGGTGTTCTTGAAGAAACAGCTACACTGCTTCATGAAAGCAGAAAAATGAGTAAAGACAGGATGGCTAAAACCAGACTGCCTGTGTTCAAATTCTGGTGCCATCACTTACCAGCTCTTTGACCCTTGGCAGGAAACAAACTCTCTGTGCCTCATTTTCCTCCTCTATAGAATGGAGAAAGCCTCATGAACTTCCTTTTGAGGTTCTCATGAGGATTGTATGATTTAAACCACATAAAACACATAAACCAGAATTTCCATTTCTAGTCATCACAGAAGATTAACTGGACCAATTCTCCCACCAAAGACAACTGAAAAAGCTGGACCAAAAAAAAACCCAAAAACTTGTTTTAACTTGAGCAGTTAACAAGATAAAGGAATTAGTGGATCATGGCTTAGGTAATCCAGGGGATCCGGCAGTCAAGACCACTTTGCCCAGGGAGTGCCATTCACGATTTGCCAACTGCCAGGGGCAGAGGAGAGGCTGAGCTGCTATCAAAGTGCCTAGAACATGGAAAGCAGCTAATAAATAGAAAGCAGATGGCGGTTGTATGAAAAAGGCCCTGAGGCCAAAAGGTGAAAAAATACACCTAGTATTTGGCTAAATTTGAGTCCAAGTGGAATCCCGAACATATTTTGTGGAATTATCAGAAACAGAATATTGCTTTAATTTTTATTTAATAAATGATGTGATACAGTACTTACAACATGCCAGAGCTTTACAAATGTAATACCTTTAATTGCTTGTTACAATTTGAGCATGCAATAGTCACTTAGAGAAAAATCAGCAAGTGCTACAACTACCCTAAACATGAACAAGCAACCAGACCTGCCATATCCCCAACCTCAGCTTGGGAAGCTGCTTCAGACTCATCCTGCTTCTATACAGGTAGTATTTCTTCATTCTAGATCTTAACCTGCATTTTGATTCTTGCATGGTAGTCCAGTTCTCGTGCCTGATTGCTTCTTTCTTCACTACTGCTTAAAATAAGCATTTTTGAGGGGCACCTGGGTGACTCAGTAGGTTAAACGTCTGGCTCAGGTCATGATCTCTGGGCTCCGTACAGGGCATGGAGCCTGCTTAAGATTCTCTCTCTCCCTCTCCCTCTACCTCCCCGTATAAATAAGTAAATAAATAATAAAAAACAAAATAAAAGCATTTATGATCCTGCAAATAATGTTCAACATGGTGCTTGGCACAGAGTAGATGCCCAATACATGCTTGTTGAAAGACTATACTCAACAAATGCTTATTAATTTCTTCTACAAACATTCCCGAGAGCATCCTTCAGATACTGAAAATTCAAAGAATTTAAAATAGTTTGCTATGGCGGGAACTACAGAGAAACTCAGTGTCCAGTGATCGAAGACCTTCTTCTGATACAGAAGGACTGAAACTTTTATGCATGTGTTTCATGACAGTGTTAACAGGCATTTGCTGTTCTTTATGGCCACCCAATATTTCAACTCTCCCCAGAGCCCATGCCCACTATAGCAGAGAAAAACACAATCATTCTCCTTCCTGGTCTCCTGTGAAGTTCAGCTATTTGCACATGAGCTGGGCCTTGTCAATCAGACCAACCACTCCAGACTCTCACTCAGAAGCTAGTGACACAAAGAAGCTGGGCCAAGCAGAACTCATTCGAGGGTGGTTGGGAAAGTGAATGCCAGTTCCCGAGGTAGCAGAAGTAGAGGTCATGGCAGATTTGGGGCACCACTGCTGGTCAGTGGTACCAGCAGCGCTCTGGGCAGCAACCATGCTTTCTTTCCCAGAATGGCTCTGCAGTGGGATTTGGGGCACTGCTCCTAGCTGCCTGGTTTCCAGGTTTATTCATCCAAGCCTTCAGAAGAACCTATGAGCTCCCTAACATTCTTCTGATAAATTCCTTGTCTGCTTAAGTTAGAGCTCATTTCTGTTACTTGCCAGCAAGAATCCTGACTGGTTCAGTAACCACGAACTAAGGAAAAGTTGTTAGCCTCAAACCTACATCCCTGTAGAGTGGAGGGAGTGGGTGCTCTGAGTACACCAGACACTCTGCCTTCCTCTCCTTCAGGGAAGATGACTCATCCTGAGTCTGTACAAGGGCAACCCAGACTGTCTCATTAGCAGGATCCATGACTGTGTCTTCTGTATCCTTTCAAAGTCAGTCAGGAATAATTTCAGTTAGAGTGTGAAGGCTCACTCTTGTAGACAAATGTCTTTCTAGTTAGAAGAGCAGGAGAATCAGTCAAAAGAGGAACTTCTCCAGTGGCTGAACAGCTATTTTAATAATTAAGTGCTGGCAGAAAGAAATCATATAACTGTGTTAACTGGCCTTATTACAAATTCATGGTTACTACTACAGTTAGGTCCACTATGATACAAAGCCGTCTCCTTTCTGGCCCCTACTCATCCACCAGGGAGCTGTTCCAAACTTTCAAGGAGCTCCTCACACTCCACACCCAACTCCAGACCAGCACACTCTGCAAATGACCTTGCTTCCTTCCTTGAAGGGAAATGGCAGCCACTCATGTGAACTCCTGCAGGTGTCTTTCTATCTACAGCTAGATACCATCTATCTTCTTGGGGTCAGAAGACTGCATCCTTTTCATATCTCTTCTTGAGTTTGCTTCAGCAATATCTTCTTTTTCTTTATTCTTTCCTCTTCATTGCTCTTACTCCCAGCCAACAAACACTTAAAATGTTTCCCACCCGGGCGCCTGGGTGGCTCAGTTGGTTGAGCGACTGCCTTCGGCTCAGGTCATGATCCCAGGGTCCTGGGATTGAGTCCCGCATCGGGCTCCCTGCTCTGCGGGGAGCCTGCTTCTCCCTCTCCCACTCCCCCTGCTTGTGTTCCCTCTCTCTCTGTCAAATAAATAAATAAAATCTTTAAAAAAAAATGTTTCCCACCCTTAACAATATTAAATCCTTCCATGGCCCTACCTACTCTTCAATTACCATCCTTGCCTCTAGAGATGTCTTTTAATCTTGATATCCTCAGCACTTAGACCTATAATAGAATAAACATGCAATAAATGTCTGATGAATGAATGAATGGAGTGGATAGTGGATCGATGGTTGCCTGTTATGTAGGAATGGGTTGAGAAATACAAATTACTGAGGGGCGCCTGGGTGGCTCAGTCGGTTAAGCGGCTGCCTTCGGCTCAGGTCATGGTCCTGGAGTCCCGGGATCGAGTCCCGCATCGGGCTCCCTGCTCGGCAGGGAGTCTGCTTCTCCCTCTGACCCTCCTCCCTCT